ATCTATTTCCCCATACTCATACATAAATATATTTACATATGTATATGCCTTGATTTAGACCTCTATAAATGCCCTTTGTCTCCTAGTTCTTTCCTCTATTTCCTTTTACTTTCCTCTTGTCCCACTATCATGCTCAGCCTTCATTTGGGTTTCAGTAATTCTTCTTGGTTACATTACCATTGATCACGCCCTACCAGGCCTACACCTCCTCACCACCGATTTGGTTCACTTGTTGTTCCCTTTGGCCTAGGTTTGTTAATACCACTTCCTTCCCCCTCCTCCCCCTCTCCAGTGTATCCCTGGAACTGTAGGTCCCATTGTCTTCTCCTCCAGCCTATCTTATTTAGACAGACCTGTGGAGATAATAACACGCACAAAAACAAAAGAGAGCAAAACTAAGCAGCAAAATAAAATAAAACAACAACAAAGAGCTAATGACAAAAACAACAATAAAAAAGAAAAGCCTGTAGTCAGTTCAAGAACTGTTGGACTTTAAAGTGTTTACAGGTTGAGTCTGATGGGGTGTCAAGCCCCGGCCCTAAATGAAGGCTGAGCATGATAATGCAAAAAGAGGAAAGTAAAAGGAAATAGAGGAAAGAGCTAGGAGGCTTTTTTCAGATTCTTTGGATGTTGTCAATTCAAGACTATTAAGAGTGGAGAGGTGTAGTTTAGTCTTCAATTGACAACAGATTTTGTAATTATCACAGATACTTGGGGGCCTTAGAAGAGATTAGGGGATCAATCCTGAAAATAGATGAAAAAATGGACCTACTAGAAACCTCACATACAAAGGAAATTCAGAAGCTAAGGAATGACGAATAGAAGAAATGGAAAATCAAATCAACAAACTCAAAGACAACCAAGCAGAATTCAGCAAGTGAGAGAAACAATCAAACAAAAACCACAAAAGAATCTGAAAAAAGCCTGAGGATGATGTTGAATACCATGAAGTGAAATGCTATTTGAATTATTGAGGTTCATGAGCAGGAAGGAACAAATCCGTATAAAGTTAAACTACTAAGGGAATTCTTAGAATAAATTTCATCAATATCACAAAGTAGGAGAGGATAACCATCCAAGAAACAGATAGAACGTCAAAAAGATTAACACCCCCCACACACACACCAAGAAAACACATCAAGATTCATAGTAGTCATACTATGCAACTTCAAGGAAAGGGAGAGAATCATGAGAGCAGCTAGAGAGGAAAAAGCAGGCACCCATAAAAGTAAACAAATAAGAATAAGCTCTAAGAATAAGCTCAGACCTCTCCGCAGAGACCATGCAGGAAAGGAGAAATTGGAGCAAAATATTCTGAAAGCTGAAAGACAACAACTGCAATTCAAGAATCCCTTATCCAGCAAAGCTTTCCATCAAATTTGAAGGAGATATAAACATTTTCTCAAACAAGGAAATATTTAGAGAATTCATAGAAACATTACAAAAATACTGTCCAGTGGGCAATGGAATAAACACACCAATCAAAGGCAAAGAGCAACAGACTGGATTAGACAAAAAGATTGAGGGACACATCTCAAACTCACCAATAAAAATAGACTGAGAGTCAAAGGATGATGAAAATTTTACCATGTCAATGGCAACAACAACAAAAAATCAAGGATGGCAATATTAATCTCCAATAAAATAGCCTTCAAGGTACACGACATAATGAGAGTCACAAATGGGCATTACATCATCCTTAAGGGATCAATATACCAAAAGCACATAACCATAATAAATATACATGGACCCAATGAAAGACCCTCGAAATTCATTAACCAAATCCTCAAAGAGATGAAGGGAAAGCACCAGATCAACAATAATAGTAGGTGACTTCAATACACCTCTTTCAAAGATAGATAGATCAACAGGTAAGACACTCAATAAAAAACCAGAAGACCTGAACAACAGAATCGAACAACTTAACCTCCTAGATATTTACAGAGATCTCCAACCAAGAGCAAAAAAAAATACACATTCTTTGCCAACACATCTGGCTCATCTTCTAAAATAAACCACATGCAGTGTCATAAAGCAAGCCTGAGAAAACTCAAACCATCTTCTCTGACCACAGTGCCATAAAGCTGGAAATCAACAATACAAAGAATAAAAACAAAAACAAACACTAGAGACTCAACAACAGACTACTCAAAAAAGACGGGGTAATAGCCCAAATAAGAGAGGAGATGAGGAAGTTCCTAGAAACTAATGAGAATAACACAACATACCAAAACTTAGGGGATGCAGCAAAAGCAGTTATCAGAGGTCACTTTATAGCAACTAATGTGCACATGAAAAAAAAAAAAAAAGAATCATGTTCAGCACCTTAACACCTCCAACAACTAGAAGAGTCAACTGCATAAACCTTCCAATAGCAAAAGGAAAGACATTATAAAAATTAAAGCAGAAATAAATGAACGGAAAAACAGAAAATCAATGGAAAATTCAACAAAGCAAAAAAAAAAGTTTCTATGAATGTATCAACAAAACCAACAGACTGAAAGCAAACCTAACAAAAGAAAAGGAGACCATATCTAGAATTAGGGATGAAACGGGGAGGCACAACAAACCCTAATGAAGTAAAAAGATTAATAATGTAGTACTGCAAAGACTGTATTCCAACAAATTCATTAATTTGGAGGACAAGGAAAAATGGCTAGAAAATCTACCACCATTGAAACCACAAGACATTGCACCCACCATCCCATAATCTTCCAACATTTTACATGATTGCATGTGACAGCATGAATCTAAGGAGTGAGTTATGGACTAGTATCGGACCCATGGGCTAATATCGGACTTATGGGCTTGATTTGGACTAGGATGGGAGGTTTTAATATACAATTACTCTTTGATATAAAGCTCTCTCTTGAACACATATGAGTATCCCTGGATTTGTTCCTCTAGTCAACTGGCCTAACACACCTTCTCCTTCACATCAGAGCCGGCTAGCCTGCTTCTCTGCTTTATCCCTGGAAACCCTTGCAATGTACCTCATCCTATGGTATAGTCACCTGGGGAAAATTTAGATGTAGTAATACATCCAGTGATACTCATTTTTTGATACTACATCTCTTAATTTCAGATTGCTGGATCATTCCAATGAAGGATTTACAAACTGGGAATTTATGACCGTGCACTGCTGGGGAGAAAAGGCTGAAGGTGAATGGACCTTGGAAATCCAAGACTTGCCATCCCAGGTCCGCAACCCTGAGAAGCAAGGTCAGTGTCTCTCAGGAAATTTTGTGACAATAATATAGCAGAGACATATTAATCGAATGAAAATTTTGGAGGTTTTTCAATGGCAGTAAAATTCGCCTAACATAAAAAGTCAGTTCTTTAATCATTTTACAGTATACATGTATGAAATCACCACGAATTCCAGAGCATTGTCATTTCCCCTAGAGGGGGGAATTTGAGAAATTGAATAGACCTCAAAAGAACTGTAGAGCGTGTATATTGTTCGAAAACACCAGCAGGAGAGCTAAAGAACCTCTTTAGGCTGAGGAGGGCTCTAAGAAAGAAGTCATTGACATCTCCACTGAAATCTTACTCGGTTGGTGGTTACTTGGTGCCAAAAGACCTGGATAGGCAGTATTCACATTGAAACCAAACCACCAGCATCATGTCTGAAAGTCCATCAGTGTGGGCAATGAAAACTCACACTCCTGGGGAGGTAATTAAATAAATGAAGAAGTAACTCAACCCATAAGAAATAAGAGTAAACTGTTGCGGCCCAGCTGATTCTAACTCACAGCAACCACTTGTGTGTGGAGTAGAACTGCTCCACGGGGTTCAAGGGTATGATCTTTCAGAAATAGGTCACCACGCCTTTCTTCTGAAAGGCCTCTGAGTGGGTGGAAAGCGAACTTTTTCGGGTAGTTGAGCATTTATCCACTTACACCACCCAGGAACTCTGACAAACTCCATAATGTACATTATTATGTTATGTTTGTATGTTAATGTATTTCCCAATGAGAAGGAGAAACAGAGAAGATAAAAAGAAAAAGAGAGAAGGAGGGGTGGTGGAAGAGGAAAAAGCAGAAGGTGAGAGAAACGGAGAGAGAAGTATCCCATAACCATAGAGTCTGTGTGCAAAGCAAGCCCTAGGATGTGTGCTGGCTTTGGGGCCCCAAGGATGTGAGATTATGGGAATGAATGGGAATGCTGTTTCTGGCTGATTGTCTGGTTAGGGTAGCTTCTAAGCACCAAGATTTGTGGCCTCACCAGACATTGCCCCCCAAAAGGCAAGGCTGTTTTCATCTCCGTACAGTGATTTCAAAAACCTGTTTGGCGGCAAAGTGCCTCACTTTTGGTTGTTCATTTCAATCTCCTTCAGATCTCTGCAGCTAAATTGCTTAAAAACAAAAATATAGCACCCCAGGTCCAAGGATGTACTGTGTGAAAGTACTTCAAAACCCCAGATAATGTGAGGATTAACTAAGTCATTATATGATCTTAATGATAAGCTAGCTCAAATAATATTCTGTGTTCTATCAGATTAAACTTGGCCTGTGTAATTAGTTATAAAACATTTTTTCTTAAGCTGAGTAGCATATTAGTCATCTGTTTCCTCTTCAGTTCCTCGGCCAAAGAAAGGTGTGTATTCTTCCTTAGTTGCACTGTTCTGGAGACGTTTAGGACATAGAACTTCATCGCTTGGGTGTATTCATGTCAGCACTCAAAAGGCTTTGGCATTGTGAGTTGCCATCTAGTCAACTCATGGCAACTTTATAACAGAACCAAACATTGCCCACATCTGTGCCATCTGTGTATGATCATTGTTATGGTTGAATTCATTGTTATAGATCCACCTTATTTATTTAGTAGATCTTTGTCTTTCCACATGATCTGTCCAAAGCACATCAAAGTTTCATCAAAGTCACATCTAAGGAATATTCTGCTTGTATTTCTTTTAAGATTGAGTTGTTCATTCTTCAGCTAGTTCATGGTATCTTCATTATTCTTCACCGACACCATAACTCAAATGCATCAATGCTTCTGTCTTCCTTTTCCCTTTTCTTACTTTGACGTGTATATGAGCTGGTTGTACATGACGCGTCAGACACCTTCGTCGTCAGTGACACCTTTGGTTGTTAGAACTTTCAAGAGGTCTTTTGCAGCAACTGTATCCAATGCCATGTCATTGGATGTCTCACTCACTGCTTCGCAGGAAAGTGATTATTGATGCAAGCATGCCTGTGCTCTTGTTGTTAGTTATTATTGGGTCTATTCCAGGTGTCAGAGTACAACCTTACTCCATCGGGTTGGCAATGGCTGTGACCTTTAAGAAGAAGATCACCAGGGCTTTTGTCCACGGTGTTCCTGAGTGAGTTTGAATCTCTAACCTTTCAGTTAATAGTCAAGTGATCAACCATTTTCACACTCAGAGTGCAAACATTAAGAATGCCTATTCTGAAACCTAGTTGGTACCAAGGCCTGCGGATAATAGAACAAGTTTCAGTGTCAATCCCAGTCACATAAATTTACCTCATCCTGGGGAAGCAGGCCTGACATAGCCCTCCTGCACAAGTATTGAAGGTAGACTAAGACAGGGAATGTAGAGACTGAGAGATGCCCAAGGAGAACCCTGATGTCCTCAAGACCACAAGACAGTGAAGCAGATGATTGTGCGTACCAGCAATGACCATTAGGATTCCAGTCTGCAGAGCAGCTCTTAGAGAATCATGGGTGCATCTTAGAAAACTTCCCATCCAAAATGTCCAAAAGTGTTCAGTTTGAGTACTGATTGCAGTTTTACTGTCTGGGGTTCATACATCTTCCATCATTCAACAGCAGGTAGACCTAGGGTCAGAATTCTACTTCCACTTTTCTAAAATCTCTGGCTTGGGATTGGTCTTGTCTCCTATATAATGGAGAGGAGTACATCTTCCTCGGGAACCTAGGAAAGGGATAACCTAGGTAGAGTAAATGAGGGTATCTACTGCCACAGAATTGTGTGGCTCCATAGTTGGTGGGGGCATGGTAGGGCACCAGCAGCTCCCAGGGGTAGCAACCCACATGGGGCAACCCCTGGAGGTCGACACAGAATCCAAGCAAGGAGGAAGGTGAAGGGCAAGAGAGAGAGAGAGATTCCCAGTGCCTCTCTGGCCTCTCTGAAAGGGGCACCCACAGCATGCAGCTGGTAAGAGATGAGTCTCCTACATTGAAGCTGAGTCCTTTCTGATCTCAAGGCCTAAACTTAAAGTGCCTGTGTGTGTGTTGATATAAAGGACCTTATATCAAGAGATACTTTTTTAAGAGATAATTTTATATAAAGAAGGCATCCCAGCCCAGTGTAAATCAAGCCCCAGAGTGCAGTACTAGTCACAGTTCTGTTCAGATTCACGTCCAATGAAACAGAATGGTGAAGCAGGGAGACCACAGGCCCATGGGTGCAGAGTCATGTGGATCTGATGTCACTAGAAGCCTGGCAAGGTCCTGACATCTCCCAGGATCAGTGGCCCACATGGAGCCCTGAAGACAGACATCCTAGCAAGGAGAAAGGGGAAGGACAAGAGAGAGAGAAAGAGAGGGATTCCCAGTGTCTCTCATTAAAAGGCCACACCCCTAAGGAGGCTGTGACCTAATTGGTAGGTTGCGTTCCACTCCTACACTTGCTTCTTTTTTTTAAAAACCATTTTATTAGGACATAGTCCAAACATTTTCTTATTTCTTGTACTCCTTGTTATTAATGTTCCCCATTAACCCCAAACCTCCCCTGCCGTACCCCCCAGGAACCCTTAATCTAGTTATTGTCTCTATAGATTAACTCGTCTTGGGTTTCATATACTGAAAAACAGAAAAATACATAACAAAGAGTCAAGAAGGCTACCAACAATAATAAAATACCACAGGATAAGCCTCAGTTTAAAAGAAAAGAGAAAATATTAAAAATTAAAGCAAACTCAAAATGTGCCACAAGGAAGAGCAAATGATAAGGTTTTAACCATTCAAATAAAATGTTTTCTTTTAATCTACGATAATCACCTGTACAATGCTCTGTCTGACATCCTGCCTATTCCCATCCCTCGATTACAGTTAGAGGGAAACCATTGGAGGCTTATTCTATATGTAGATTCCCGCAAATGTATTTTGGACTTTTGTTGTCATCCATAGCCTTCGGCAAACCAGAATTAAACAATGTAAACTCTGATACCACCGCTCCTTCAGATTTCGATATATCATTTACAATACTTAGGTCACATAGCCCGGTGTGCTTCTTCCATGTGAACTTAGTTAGCATGGAAGTGTGCTTGTTTGAAAACAAGCCTTTAAGACCCCAGATGCTATTCTATCTGATAGCCAGGCGTAATCTAGTTTCTTCACCACACTTTGCTATACTGCTCATATATTCCTTGTTCTCTTCAGGAGGGTGATTATCAAGCAAGGCCATGTCTTAAGAACTAATTGCTCTTAGATTGGAGGTAGGATTAAGTGTGAGCCCAAAATCTCGTATATCTATGTTTCATATATACCTAGGGTTCACCTTAGAGACATCTTTGCTATTTCATGTTATATTACCAATCATCTCCCTGGAGCATCCGGTCCTTCTATTTATAGTGTCATTGATTTAGCCCATAGTAATGTATTTAAAACAGAGTTGAGAAAAGGAGAGAGCAAACAAGTGCAGGCTGACTACAAATTGCAATGCATGGATTATTGACTTGGACAGATTAAATCCTGACTCAATTTACACAAAAAATGGGGGTTGGGGGTGAGGCAAAACTTAGAACAATTTTCAAAGACAATGACAGACCCAGGTCTGCCAGATTAATAAAGCAAATAGGGTATTGAAGGAGTAGTTATATGGTAGCATACCTATTAATTCAGAACTCCTGGTATACCTGTCTTCTGCTTCTTCATACACCATATAGTTTTGTCCTTAAGTTCTCATGTTATAGGTGCATTTGAGGTAAAGCTCAGTTCACCTAGTGGGGTTTCCACATCACATCCCTCTGGTATGGCCTTTGGAGTAGGTGTGTAGTTGGAAAACGTAGGGTCCAGTATTCATTGGCACATGCCCTGGGTCTCCAGCGGCTGTACAGAAACTCCGTCCAATGTGTTCACCCCTACACTTTCATCCAACTGCATGTTGACATAATATCTAACTGCCACAGACTACTCTTTGTCAACTTGACACCTGTACACAACTCTCTATGCATGCATAATCTCCAAAGACAATAATTAAAATCATGTTTGTACCTAATAAGATACAACTG